CCCCCGATTCTTCTGTAAGAAGAGGGTTTTCCAACATTTGGCCTGTCTAGACTGGACCAAATGTCAGAAAAACCCCTTCTTTCGGAAGCCCCCCACCCCCCATGGAATGAGGAATGCAGGGGTTACTGAAAGAGCATGTTTGCTCTTCCATTAAAAAAAACGGGAAGCCCCGGCACGCGCCTCCACTGGGAATTCTGCCACCCCCTCCCACCCCCCCCGGCAAGTTCCCAGCACGCCACAGACCTGGGGGAGGGGAGCAGCCAGCGCACTTCTGGAACCACCAGAAGTGGTGCACAACTGCAGGACTTCCATCCACCCACAGGAAGCCGGCACTACCTCCATTGTTGCTGGAGGTAGATAGTGGGGCTTCTTGGAGGTGGGGAGAAATGGAGGAAGGGAGCCCAAACGCCTTGCGATCAACTGATCGAGCCCTTGCGATCAACCAGTCGATCGTGTTCGACGAGTTGGTGACCATAGAGTTAGGACATGACCCTACAAGGAGTAGATCATAAAAAATTATTGTAAAATAAGTCTGAAAATCCCATCCATTACCTCTGCAACATCCATTTATGACTGCACGCACTCACACCCCTTCCCCACTATTTTGCAGCTTGGTCTCTGCAGTACCTGCTTAGCAGCCATTCAGAAACAATTATAATATATATATATTTAAGACAAAAAATGTACCACCACCCACCATTTAATTGTATACTTGAGGTTTGGTTGACTGACTGTGCTGTCATCCAGGAAAATAGTGGAGCAGGAACTGTATTTCCTTCTCAGTTGCCCAGGAGGATGCTAGAAAATAACATGCAAAAGAACAATGGCAATTATATAACACAAAAATCTCTTTATGAGGAGGTATTACAACTAAGAAGCAAGAGAGAGAAATTGCTCTTTCAAAGTTGGACATGTCTTGCAGAAATTTAGAAATGTCAAAAAAAATCCTATGTAAATAAATATCAAAACTATATTTCCCCACCCAATGATTCTTTCCTTAAAGCACAAAAAGCCAAAAGTAATCTGAACACCTAACTAAGAATTCATTCTGTCACCCCGCCTGCCTTGCCACACATTTTCAGCATCCACATTTAGAAAGAAAACATGAGCAAGTTCTGCACTCCAGTCCTAAATTCAAAAGGAACAGGAGCACGTGCGTCAGTGGAAAAAGGGATTTAGAAATGGATGTGAAACAGGTAATGGAGAGAGTTCAGGGGTGGGAGGGAAGAAGAATAAAACACTGAAGATTATATAATAGAGGGAGAAAGGGGAAAAACAAGGGGAAAATATCTTGGAGAAGAGAAGGTTTAGAGCACAAAGTCCAAAACAAGCCACAAAACATTTCAATATATGAATAAAAGAAAATTAGTCTGACGGAAAAACAAATTAGACACTAAGTAAAACGTCTGAAAACCAAAAGTGACTAACTTAATTTTTTTTTAAACACAAAATTTGCTTTCTGCAAAACTTCAGCCCTGATTCTCCACTATCTGAGCAGCAGTCAGACTTGGTGGAAAATAATGGCCAAAAGAGCCAGTTTGAAATTGAGCAATAGGTAACAAGAGAGCCAGACTCAAGGTCTTCCGATTAGCTGTTTACAAGCAGCTGACATTTCCCCTCCCAGGAAAAAAAAAAAAAAAAGGAAGAAGAGAAATAACCATCTCAGCATCTTTAAGTTAATGACTTTCCAGTTTTCTTCCCCAATCTGTTATTTCTGCATGGTAGCATGACTAAGGAGATGAGACTTGGGTCAGCAATATTATAGATACACTATGCCAGCGTTTCCCAAACTATGGGCCGCGGCCCGGGCCTCAGCATGGCTGGTGGCTGCCGGCAGGGGCGGCCTCAGGCCGATTCAGGCCCCGCGCCCCTGAACCCGGAAGTGCCAGCTGGGTCTCTCCCCCGGTTCTGCCTGGTGCAATCCATATTCCTTAACTTGCTGGTAAGAATATTGTGGGCGACCATATCAAAAGCTTTGCTAAAGCTGGCACTGGGGGTTTTGGGAGGACCAGAAACAACTTATTTGAATATTCATCATTTGATTAATGAATATGCAAATATGCAAATGAACATTACTGGTCCTCCAAAAGTTCGTGAATGGATTTACTGGTCCCCGTGTCAAAAAGTTTGGGAACCCCTGCTCTATGGTATGTGAGGAGGATGGAAATATCTTGGCTCCCATGATACTGATATTGGTTTATTTTTCTGTTACTGGGTGGGATAATTGTAGGTATTGCCTATTTTAATTAGTTGAACTTTGAAAAACCAACCATGTGAACTGAAGAAACCATTCACAGGCTGTTACCCTTAGGCAGTTAATTCAAGGCTATGTCTACACTAGCCCCCTGGTTCGAACTAGGGAGGCTAATGTAGGCATTCGAAGTTGCAAATCAAGCCCGGGATTTAAATATCCCGCGCTTGATTTGCATTTTCCCAGCCAGTCGCCATTTTTGAAATGTACAAGTCCAGACTAACTGCCCACATTTACACGCGGCAGGAACCCGGTAGTTCGAATTAAAGCCCTAGTTCAAACTACCTGTTAAACCTCATTCCAGGACTTTCCAGGAGGAATAACAGGTAGTTCGAACTAGGGCTTTAATTCGAAATACTGGGTCCCTGCCGCGTGTAGACGCGGGCAGTTAGTCTGGACTTGTAAATTTCAAAAATGGCAACTGACCGGGAAGATGCAAATCAAGTGTGGGATATTTAAATCCCGGGCTTGATTTGCAACTTCGAATGCCTACATTAGCCTCCCTAGTTCGAACTAGGGGGGGGGTGAGGAGGAGGGGAGAGCTGGCCATCAGAAGCAGCACTGGATGGGGGAATCGGGGCAGGCTGGGGAGACTGGGAGGCCGGTGGAAGCAGGGCTGCCGGGGGGTGCGAGGTTAGGGGTAGGGAGCTGGCGGGGGAAGAGGGGGGCGGGGAGAAGAAGCGGCCTCTGGAAGGAGGGCTGGATACAGGCAGTGGGGCTGGCCAAGGGAGATTGGGAGGAGAAGTGGACCTGGCTGCCCGGGAGAGGGTTAAGGGAAGTGGGACTGGCCAGTGGCACAGCGGGGGGAGCAGGGCGGAGGAATGAATCGGCCTGCGGGGAGTGGGACTGGCCTGGCCATATGTAGATCTTGGGACGCTGCCCCTGTTTCCCTCTTGCCCCCCGCATGAGTTAGTCCAGCCCGGGGATTCTATTGTCCCCCCCCCACACACACCCCTCGAGTAGTTGCGAACTGTCTGGCTGGTAGACACACACATGCAGCCTGAGCACATTTACCAGCCAGGCAGTTCGAAACTACAAACTGATACATCTAATAATAATACAACTTACCTAATGAGAAAATACCAGACACGTTATATGTCTGGTATTTTCTCAGTTTGTTTTTTATGTGTTTATATTTTTGGGCTGCAAAAAGCAGTATTGGAAAAAAAAGGGTTACAGCTAAAGTAAAACGTTTGGGAAACCCTGGTCTAACCAGCTTTGTCTGTCTGTCTTACAGTCCATTTATCCAATCCATATTCCTTAACTTGCTGGAAAGAATATTGTGGGCAACCATATCAAAAGCTTTGCTAAAGCTGGCACTGGGGGTTTTGGGAGGACCAGAAACAACTTATTTGAATATTCATCATTTTATTAATGAATATGCAAATGAACATTACCGGTCCTCCAAAAGTTTGTGAATGGATTTACTGGTCCCCGTGTCAAAAAGTTTGGGAACCCCTGCACTATGCCAATTTGTACCAGCTGAGGATATGGCCCAGGGTATGCTGACTCCCACCTCAGCGCTCCTTTCCCTAGTCTATGCAATGTGCCCTAGATCTACAAGTGCACCTCTAGCACTCCATTATTGCAATCTAGTTCTAAAATGAAGACTTAATACCTTAAAATAAGAAAAAGTATGTCTACACTAGCCCCCTAGTTCGAATTAGGGAGGCTAATGAGGGAGACTGAAATTGCAAATGAAGCGCGGGATTTAAATATCCCGCGCTTCATTAGCATGTTCCTGGGTGGTCGCCATTTTGGAAATTGACTAGCGCGGAATAACTGCCTGCGTCTATACGCGACAGAGAAGGGCGATTCCGAAATAAACCTCTTACTTCGAATTACCAGTGTAGACACGGGCAGTTCTTCCGGGCTAGTCAATTTCCAAAATGTCGACCACCTGGGAACATGCTAATGAAGCGCGGGATATTTAAATCCCGCACTTCATTTGCAATTTTGGTCACCTTCATTAGCCTCCCTTGTTCGAACTAGGGGGCTAGTGTAGACCTACCCTTACTTATGGAGCTTCTTTGGTAACATGCACTACTTCAACTCTAGTGATAAAAATTGCAGGTATCTCCTGTCCCGTTTTCTCTCTATGTTTGGGTAAAAGCATTAGAAGACTTTTGCAACTTGGAAAACATCAGGTTCTTATGATGCAATTCTTAGGAAGTCTTTGTTCAAGATATCAAAGCTTCCCTGCCCACTCAGTCAAGGCCCCTGACATCAGCTATATATTTTCAGGATATTCTAACATTTTCTTGGAAATTTTAGAAAGGGTGCAAAATCTGGTACAAAAGCACAAAATTAGCTGCAATATTAACAAAACTCCAAAATACCTGGAAGTTTAGAAATACATTTGTCATTAATCTGGGGACTTTTAATTCAAGCTATTAACATATGTAATAGTTTAAAAAGTGAAAGTACTCAGTAATACTACTGTAAAATATCTTATTTGGTATCACAGGAAGTGGAAGAAATGACTAAGCTTTATGTGACGTACAACTTTTAGCCTATCAGCTGCTATTTCATATTTCTATATTAGGCTCTTCAATGCATTTCACATTCATGATGTTCACCAGAATATCTGATTCATTTGAAGTGGCTTTTATTTAATATGTGAACAAAATGAACATATGTAGACAGAACAGTATCACTAACTCCCCCCTTCCATAAAAAGGAAAGGCTTTGAAAAAAAATATAGTTATACTTTTTATATTTCCTCTGTGAAAAGACACATTTGGTTCCACATTCTGTCATCATGGTCTATGTAAGTGGTCATTGGAAGGCACAGAGCCTTGCCAATAAGCTAACTACTTGTCTATAGAGCTCGCTTGGAATTTTTTTTAATTGAACTATTTTTGTTAGTGCTGATTTACTGAAACAACATTAAGCGGGAATGTAAATGTTTCTACTAACTTTTTTCAGGAAAGGTTTGCAGTTTTTGAAAAGATAAAAAAAGGAGAGATAGAGACCCTTACTGAAGAACAGCGAATACCTTACTGATTGGAGTGCTCATCTGCAATGTGAGAGATTTGTTGGGGTATATTAAAATTAATAGGCCTGAAATGGCCTTTGCATTAGTGGTTCAGGAGTCAGCCACAGCATTACTCTTAAACATGACTTTTCATTTTGTTTTTTGTAGTTTCAGAATATAGATTAAAGGTCTGGTCAAGACCAGTATTATCCTTTGATGTATAAACATGCTCTCTCTCTCTCGCTCTCTCTCGCTCTGTTCTGTAGCCTAGGAAACCAGATAAGTATGGAGTTGCTCTATTTTGTTAGGTCTCTTGCTTATCCTCCTTGGCTCTGCATAACATATCTTCAGGGTCAAATTCCTTGTAATCTCTGTATGTAACTGTTAGTTTGTAGTATAAAAGTGTTGATTCAATTAGAAATTATATAAATAATAATTATATAATTGTATTCATTATTTACTTATTAATATGCATTTTATGGGAGTAAACACTACTAAATAAGGTTTAGGAAAAGTAGTGACAGACGTGTGAATTAACATTCTAAAATAGATAAAAGGTTCTAACTACTG